GAGTCGAACCCTTCCCTCCTGCTGACGAAAACTGAGGTTCAATTTCTAAAATCCGAGATAAACCCACCTCTCTGATTTGCACTTTGCGTTTTTTTATCTCCCCTTCTCCCCCCTTTGCCCCCTGGGTATAGTCGGCTGCTCGCTGTGGAAAGTTTACTCGTCTGTTGCTAGTTGAAAGATGTGGTTGTGTTGTCCCTGTTTCATTCTTTCTTCATCCATGGAATTTTATATTTTGCCACATCTGTTGTTCTAAAAGGGATATCTGAAATTCAACTGCAGATTTGAAATCACCATCCAATGGTATATATGCATGCCAACTTTCAGCAAGGTATCTCAAGAAATAAAAAAACATATTTAAGTACCCTCGTCCCACCTTAACCAAGGTTCGGTACCCAGCAGATACCAGTGCCGAGGTTAGCGTAGTACCCCCTACGCCGGAGGATCAAAAAAGTTGCAAAGAAACTCCTCCTCTGCAAGCGGTCAACGGAGCCACAAGAAAAGCGTATGAAGAAAAGTACAGTGACCTAGAAGGGGAAGTGTGCCGTCCGCGGCGCGTTTCAACGGAGGCGAGGTGGTCCCCGCAGCGATGACAGCGCTGTGATCTACAGGAGCACGACCGTGAGAGGTGGTGCATACATGTTTACACCTGTTGCGTTGGTAGTCTGCTGTGTTTATCTGTGATCGGTGCCTCGTCGGCCTCTGTGCTGTTACACTGACTGTGCTGTATTTGAGTTTAGCAGTGGTGGTGGAGTTTGTCTGTGTGTGGACTGAAATGAAACAAGATGACGCGGAGACGGCGTGACAAGCGAGACGGCTTCTGTTTTGTGCCGAACTGCAGCAGCGGCTATCGCTGGTGTAAAGAGGCACGCTCTTTGCTTCGGGTACCGCTTGAGGCTGATCGCCGTGAAGAATGGTCGTGGAACATAAAGAGAGGCGCTCGAGCCCTCGACGAGTGCGGCGTTGTCTGCGAGCGCCCCTTTCAGCCAAGGTTCATCCAGCGGTCTTTTCAAATGATGATCAACGGCAAGGTCGTTGAAATTCCCCATGACCGACCGCTCTTGACAAAGGATGCCATTTCTACTATTTTCCCAGAGATGCTCTTAAGTACTTATCAAAGTCACTGCCGAAAATGAGGAAGAAACGCAACCTCAGCGATCAGGTGTTCCCCAATTAGAAGCGAAAACGAGAGGACAAAATGCTGCCAGAAGCGGCTTCTAATGATGTTCGCCTCCTCAACGATGTCCAACTTCCTGATCAAGCTCGTGAAAGACTGTCATTTTCAGGGCTGACCAGGCCAAACGTACGGTCGGAAATTTTTCTGCCGTGTGCTGAGGACTCATTTCTCTACGCAGAGTGCGAAGCCAATGCTGTGGAACAAAGCAAGATAGCTGTGAAAAAGCAGGTGCAGATTACGATGCAAGCTGGGGGAACTGCTGCTACAACCAATGTTCTCATCAGAGGCAAAAAGTTGCGCCAGGAGATACTCGCAACACGAGAAGAGGCGGAGGCACTCATCAACAATGTCAGCCAGCTTACTTTGTGCGCTGGTACAGGTATAGAGCCTTTGACTGTTAAGTGCCCGTCTCTTAATGGGGCGCTCTTTTGACTAACAAAAAAGGAGGAAAGGTTGGCCTGAAGAAATTTGTATGACAAATAACGCATTCCATAATTCTGTTCTGTTTGTTTTGTCGGTGTCTTCTTTGTGTGACACCAGTCTGAAGAGCAAAAGTAGCACCCAGGTGCATTTACAGGTAGCTTCATGTGCCAAGCAATGCAAAATGAATTAGAACTGACGAGTCAAGGTATTAACAGAGTCCCTTATTAATATAAGTCAATGCACTAAAATTCTGCCAAAGGTGTTTTGAACATAGTAGCATAGTATTTATTTTTATTTATTTACCCAAAGCGCCCTTTCGGGCATTACATAGGGGGATACTACTCGTTAAGATTTCTAAATGGGAAAAGACCTGGTCAAAAAGGTAACAATGCACTACGACCAGGCCTGTCCTTGGGCATGAACGTTATCACAACAGAACTGTGGCTGTGCGTTCCGGAAGCGCTAGAATTCGTCATAAGTAAGCAGAGCAGCAGTTAATAAACAAATATAAAGAACCGCGCCGTCCCAACGATACAAAAACCAGCCGCACATTCCGCTTGCAGAGCTATCTGAGCGGCTCCCGCAGCGCTCCTGCTACCAGCAGCGCCCCCACGTACCGCGCGGAACGGTCATCGCAAAAAGGACCCGCTCTCCGCCGCCGCACGGCACACTTCCCCTTCTAGCTCACTGTAAGAAAAGTCCTTGACCGTAGACACCGGGCTCCGGCGGACATTTCGCTGGATCTTTATCATCGCTGACTTGCGACAAGCCATCATCGGGGCGGATTTCCCAAGACGATTCGGGCTCACTGTCGACCTGCGCCAATACCAGCTCCTCGACACCGAGACGCAGCTCAGTGTCCAAGTGTTAATACCAAGGACACCGCCACTGCATCCTTTTCTCCCACGTGTGGAGATGGACTCGCAGTGGAAGCGCATCACGGACGAGTTCCCCTCGATGTTTGGGCCACACGCCCTTCCACAAAAAATCCAGCACACTATCACCCATCATATTAAGACTACAGGCCCCCTGCCTTCGCACGTCCACGACACCTGCCACCAGACCGACTTCAGATAGCCAAGCACAAATTTGAACATATGATTGAACTAGGCTATGTACGCCCGTCCTCCAGTCCCTGGTCGTCGGCGCTTCGCATGATGCCGAAGAAGACAGGAGACTGGCGGCCATGCAGTGATTATCGAGCACTCAACCAGTCTACGATACTTGACCGTTATCTCGTATACCCATCTACAAGATTTCGGCGGGTTGCTTCAAGGCGCGACAATCTTCAGCAAAATCGATCTTGTCAAAGCCTACCATCAGACTTCAGTGGAACCCGAAGACGTTCCTAAGACTGCAGTCACAATGCCATTTGGGCTGTATGAATTCTTGCGGATGCCATTCGGCCTCCGCAACGCAGCTCAAACATTTCAAAGGTTCGTAGATCAAGTCCTTCGTGGACTGTCCTTCTGCTTCGCGTATCTGGACGATATCCTGGTGTTCAGCTCGACGCCGGTAAACATGCCAGTCACCTTCGACAGCTTTTTACGCGCCTGACGTCGTACGGCCTCGTTGCAAATGTTGCAAAGCGTGAATTCGAAGTCAAGGAACTGGATTTTCTCGGCCATTACGTAGATGCTTGCGGAATCCAACCGCTGCCTGACAAAGTGACCGTTATTCGCAATTTTTTACAGCCTACAACGGCTACAAAGCTACGAGAGTTTCTGGGACTGGTCAACTTTTACCGTCGGTTTATGCCCCGCTGCGCTCATATTTGCCAGCCTTTGTACAATCTGCTGCAGAACCCGAAACCAAAAATGACACCGCTACAATGGACGCACGCAGCAGACAGCGCCTTCACTAAGTTCAAGGAAGCCATTGCAACCGTTATTATGCTCAAGCATCCGAGAAGTGACAGCCTCCCTCATCGTCGACGCGTCGGACAAGGCACTTGGAGCTGTTCAGCTTGTTGGGGACACCCCATGGCATCCCATCGCATTCTTCTCTAAAGGCCTCAGTACTGCAGAAACGCGCTACAGCACTTTTGGTCGGGAGCTGCTTGCAATTTATCTTGCCATACAACACTTTCGGCACTTCATCGAAGGCCGTCAATTTATTGTCCTTACAGACTGCAAACCGCTCAAGTACGCCTTGTCGTCGTCCAGCATGGCACACACACCACGAGAGGTCCGGCAAATGCTCTACATATCCGAATTTACCACCGACATTCGCGTTGTTAGAGGCTCCAATAATACTGCAGCAGACGCTCTCTCTCGAATAGGCATCAACCTCTGCCTCTCCGAAGGTGCTTCTTTGGACTATACCAAATTGATAGCGTATCAAAAGGACACGCTATCAATGTTCAATCAATGTTGTTTCGGTAAAAGGTTTTTGATGCCAACCACACATTGGCCCACCCTGGCATACGAGCCACCCAACGACTAGTTAGCTCCCGGTTCGTGTGGCCGCGTATGAACACTGACGTGCGCGAATGGGCCAGAACATGCAATGACTGTCAACGCGGCAGGATTCAACCTCTCATGGTAACCCCCTTGACCTCCTTCAATCCACCTGACGCTCGTTTTGCTCACATTCATGTCGACCTTGTGGGCCCACTTCCTCCATCACACGATTACCGATACCTCCTGACATGTGTCGACCGGTTTACGCGATAGCCGGAGGTCGCCCCTATGAAAGATTCAACGGCACTGACGGTCGCTAGGACGCTTGTCGACATGTGGATGAGTCATTTCGGGGTGCCACAAACCATCACAGCGGACGACAATTTGAATCTTCATTGTTTAAAAACCTATCCCACTTACTGGGCGCACAGCATATTCACACCACCACATACCACCCAATGTCTAATGGAATGGTAGAACACTTTCATCGGCAATTGAAAGCTGCCATCAAAACACAGGACAAGACTGCGTCATGGACGGAAACCCTGCCTTTGATAATGCTCGGCATCCGCACAGCGTTTAAAACTGACTTGAACTGCAGTGCAGCCGAGCTGGTCTATGGAACGTCTCTCCGAGTAACAGGAGAATTTTCCCAACAAGCCTTCAATCTCCCAACTGACAGTGCCGAGGACTACGCTACCGGTTGCTACGCTACCGGTTGCGGCTTCTAATGCAAGACCTACGCCCCGTTGCTACAAGAATTCCCTCTGTAAATAACTATTTTTACAACTGGCGGCAAACTTTGTAAATAACTATTTTTTACAACTAGCGGTCTCGTATTTATTTCCTGCATCGGATGAAAAACCTGGCAGCCGGTTTGTAGTCCGCTATCGGGATTGGGTGCACGGCCTTCTTCTACCCCTACCTAAAATGGGGTTGCCTGGAGAGCCCCCGGTGCAACGGTCTATAGTTGCTTAGCAGCTCTGTAGGGAAGCACTCACCGTGACCACTGAAGGGGGAACCCTGGACAGCAGGTCCCCCAGCGTGCAGGCCCCGTAGTCGGCCACCTCCAGCGCCCTCTGGTGCACGTCCTGGAAGGCGCACGGTAGTCGCGAAGCCGCCATGAGCCTACCCCTCCGCTGAGCCCTGAGCACTTGGAGGAGGTCGGCCGCAAAGCGCTGGAGCTGCACCGGCTGGCTCAGGGTCAGCACCCTGGTGTGGCCCTGGCCCAGGATCTGAAACAACCCGCTTATATGGCGAGGGTTCTAAGATGCCTCTTTGGCCCATTCCAAACGCAGGCCAACATTGACAATGCATGGGGAATGTGTGAGGCAGCCGAGCTCGCACCGTCGTTGGTCGGGGGCAAACGCATCTGGGCACATTTGGGGGGAGTGCAAGGAGCAGACACACTTGCCTGCCAAATTACGACGCTCGTTGCCAAACCTGTACAGCGGCGAGTATGCGTGCGAAATTTAACACCCAAATGCGAAATTTAACACCCAAGTGCAAAACCGCACGCACCCCAGGACGTTCTTCTGTCTGTTATTCCTTTGGGAAACTATAATCATTGTATTTGCACCGTGTACCGCCTTGCTGGGGGTTAGAAATTAGACGCTTCGTGCACCTGCAAGATGGTTGCTTCACATCTCGGCTGCTCTGGCGGTTCAGACTTTTGGTTTCTCCTCAGAATTAACTTTGGAAGATGAGAGTTCGTCATCCAATGAAGAAGCTCTGTAAAGTACCTCCGGTGAAAGGCCAACCTGCAAAATATTTTTCAACCAGGGTGAAAATCCTCCTCGCCACCCTTCCCCCCGCTCCCACTGCTACCTTGGGGAGACTCCTTTTGTTGCCACACTGGGGGCGTCCCGACTGATCCAGCCCCAAGATGCAGCAACAGGAGGGGTTCCCCCGCCATCAAGTTAAGAGTGGGAGAGGGGGGAAAGGGTCGCAACAGGATTTTCACCCTAGTTGAAAAATATTTTGCAGGCAGCGTGGCAAAAGATCTTTTTTTTCCTCCTCCCCTTTCCTCTTCTTTTTTCCTCCTCGCTTTTCACGTCCTTCTTGCACGAGTGCTAATGAGCTTACCGGCCCCCGGACAAAACATTTGTAAGCCTTCCAGGTTCTCTGCTTTTATCCCAAACAAGAGGAATTAGTTGGGCACGCCACATATAAGCTCTGAAGAGCTCGTATCTTTCTTTTTTTCACTCTTTTTCTGCAGCTTTAAAACACGCTCAGATACTTCCGCATGCGGCCACATACTCTACAACACCGCATATTAATCTTGAGTGAACGGAGCTTCAACATCGCAGCAGACGGCAAAAAAGGTGGGTACTTTTTCTGCTTTGAGCTTTACCCAGAGACCTGAAATTGTTCGTTCTAACAATGGCACACGGAAGAGTGATTGCGTCGATAGTTCATTTTCTTCTTCAAAGTAATAATCGTGAGTAAATACGAGTCGAAAATAATGCAGTAAGAGGGTGAAACGTGTAAAATGAGTGGCATTTTGACAATATAGCCACGCATTGAAATGAACACGGCCTGAACATTTCTTGCGCATAATATATATATGTTCATACTACAGGTGTTTTCCAAAGTAACAGCCGCCTCGTTGAAGCAACTAAGAAGAGTAAACAAGACACTTCCATGAGGAGTGAATCAGTTTATGGTATATTTCATGTATCTTCAGCCTTTGAAAAAATTTCTTCATGGCCAAACTTGCATTTAGTTTCTGTCAACAAATGTAACTGAAAACTCGACAGCCAACAAATACCGTATTTGCACGAATATAACGCGAGTTTTTTTTTCTAAATTACGTGCTACAAAACGCACCTCGCATTATATTCGGAATCGAGTTCAGCCACGAGGCGCGCGAGTCTGGAGAAACCCAGAGGAGAAAGTCATCCCTCCGGCTCAATGCAAAATATCCAGTGGGAAAAGAAGTGGGAGTGTGGAAGGGAATTTATTGGCTACTGGGCCACGTGAAGGGGCGAATAGATCGCTTTTGCGTTTTTACAACGCGCGCACGCCGCAGAAACTCAGCACGGGCGCGCGCGCCATGCAGGAATGTGGCATCTATATGGAATGCGGGCACCGGCATATTCAAGCCAAGCCAAGCCGGGCCAAGTCAACACAAGCCAAGCCAAGACCACCAACCGCGTTTACGCAATCGTGCAACACGAGGCATTTGTTTATGCAGAGGGACCAGAACAAGAAGTGTGATCGTGTATCGGGTTCAGCAGTCTCTTTTTCCGCCTGCGCATTGTTTCTGCTCCAGAGTGGTCTGGTGTGTGTTGGTGCTTCTGCTTCGTGCCTTGTTTGGATTGTGGGCTGCCGAGGAGCTCGCACAGAAGAAAAGGGAACTACCAGACAAGCAGGTGCCGTGCTGATGCTTAACTGCGTAGTCGCCAAGCGGATTGTAAACGGAAGGACTTGAGCAATGAGGATGAGTGCAGTCAAAACATAAACTGATATTTCTTCTATTTCCATTGACTTTTCACTTCTGCTATGCCCCCGAGTGCGAGTGCGAGAAGTTGACGCGCCTCGGCTCGCGTTATAGTAGTACCGTATTTACTCGCAGAATGAACGCACTTTTTTTTCCAAAAAATCGATGCAAAGTTGGGGGGGCGTTCATTACGCAAAGTAAAAGTTTTGCGTCCGTATTTACTCGCATAATGAACGGACCTTTTATCCTGAAAAATCGAAGTAACTTCTTATCTCTTTGTGCGCGGCACCCGACCCCGTAACCAAACTAAGCAGTGCAAAATAAAAAAATAAAAAAATCCTCTTTGTTTTCTTTTTCTCTTAGTTCCTTGTTTTTTTTGTTGTTGTTTTTTTGCAGCCTTTTGCACTCTCAGGGACGTGGGTTCTCACAGTGTGTTCCTAGGAACCCGGAGGTTAACCGGAGTACACTCAGGGATCCTGAGCTCCCTACTTGTCCATCCCTGCCCTAAGTGAAGTAGATTTCCATCGTGGAGACAGTGCAAAAACACAAGGACGTAAAAGAAACGCAGGGGACGAGCGCTGACTATCAACTGAGAAATTTTATTAGGGGGACACGAAAACAACTCTTCACTTTATGGCAGTGCGGTCCCGCGCAACAGCATTACGTGACTATAATTAATGGCATAAAGACAGGAATTAAAAAACCTAACTTAAATCCAATAATGTCATCTTGCTGTCTAGCAGTGCCAACGACGGTTGACTGACGCAAGAGGCTCCCTTCTTTTCTTATTTTGTATGCCTCCACTATCTTTCTAGACAGCTAGTGTTTGTGCTAAAAAAAATTGGGTTGTGTGTGTGCTTATACAGCCTAGAACTTGGTCTGCCTCACAGGGGCGACGAGTCTCCCAGCTGTAGATGAGAAATTTAGCCAGTGCGGTACAGCCGCTAGCCTGGGGTCTTTAACGTGCACCACGCAGTAGTGATACACGACCGCACGCCGGTACGATGCTCATCCAGATCGAAACGGGCAGGGGTGGGGCTCAAACCCAGGATCCCTGGGTTCTGCTGCGCGAGCTTTCGCTCCGTGGCTCCGAGCTGGTGTGCGCTAGACCACTCGGCCACCGATCCCCCCTAGTGTTTGTGCTTCAAAAATTACTTCCGTGTCTTCGTGCTTAAGGGGGGACGCGGGCTTTGAAAACCGAAAAATCGCGAAAAAGTATATTTTTAGAAAACCTTATTTTTCGGTTGTATATCTCATAAACTACCTTCTCTGTAATTATCAGCACCAAATATAACGGGGAAATATTTAAAAACAATTATTTACGAGGCCTGGGTAGCATCCAAGTGACGGTCAAACGTCAAAATCAACCACAACTTCGCGCGCACGCCATTTTCGACGCGTTAGGCCGACGGCCACCATCTTAGTCTTCTTTTGAACGTGAATTCTTTCTCTTTTTTTTTTGCCAGCTCCCAAAATGGTGTCGGCCGCGTGGTTACGGCGTGGTCGCCGTTCTTCCATGTCGCAATCGCAACAACGCGATTGGACAGAGCGCACGCTCGAGGAGCGTGCGGGGGAGCGCGCGACTGCTATTGGCTGGGACGCGATTTCTCCGCGCGGAGCGCTCTCCTCCTCCTCCTCCGTTTCTCCTGCTGTTGCCGCTCGCGTCGTCTGCTTTTGGTAGTGGTCTGCTTGCACGCACTCTTGCTTTGTCAGGTCCGCTTCGTTTTTCGCCATCTTTACGATCGTTTTCCGAACTTTCTTTGAGTAGTTTCGTGTAGCGTGCCCGTCTGTTTCGTGGTCGCACACGATGTGGGGTTCGAAGTACAAGACGGTGCGTGCGTTTGGCGCGCGGAAGCGGTCTATGAAGTTAGTGCGGATGGCGAAGTTGGAAGTTTCTGCACGGCGTGCCGTCAATGATGATCGCGTCAACACTTCCAGTGATGGATTTTCTGTGCCATCGGCTGTCGTCGAGGAAGAACGCGTCGCCCCGCTCACGCCTGGAGTACCGAGCATGCCGACCGTTGTGGTTCCTCCCGAGATCGCAGGTCCCAGCGCCCGCCTTCCGCCTGCCGAGACAAGTGGGAGCGCGTCTTCCAGCACCTATCTCCGGACGCATTTCCTGACACGTGAGGAGATCGAAGCAGAAGCTAGACATTGTGATATTGCTCAAGCCGAACTTGGAGCTATGCCAGCAAACTGCACTGCATGAAGCGGTGTTGAGGTTCAACGCCGGCTGCTACAAGGCAACTGCAGAAATATCGGTTGAAGTGGGACTTCAGCCGGCTCATCTAGCTTTCCAACGAGCTGCCGAGAAAGATGCCCTACGTCTGCACAAGGCCAGCAAACGACATCAAGAGAATTTGGAAAGGCGGAACAAGAAGAAAGTGCGCAAGAACACTTCTGACTATTCTGCAGGGTCATTCTAAAGCTGAAAATCTGCATGCAACTTTCAAGTGCTGTTTTCTCAGAATGGATTTTTTCCCTGTCGTGGCTGCTCGTCCCAGCGGTATCTCAGGAACTGATGAATGAATTTTTGTGCTCTTTTTTATTCTGTTTTCTAATAACTTTGTGAGGGCATAACAGAGCCCTTTTTTTTAGAAAACTGTGTTAAAACTTTATAATAAAAAAATTAAATTTGATGAATGTGGGTTTCATTGACTACACAAAATTCAAAGTTGCGTTAAAATTTTTCAACAAGGAAATTTAAGAAAAGGGCTCTGTTATGCCCTGGGGAATGTATCCAGGGGTCATCATAACAAATATTACGCCGCTACTACCTTTTTCAAATTCTCCAGACCTGGGATAAGGAATGCATATGGACGATTTTGATAAATATTTGTAACTTGAGAAATAATATGCACAGCTCATTGAAACTTTGCAGTTACTCTTATGTCTGTGCTATAAACACACCCTGTAAATTTCGTTCAGATATCTCTAGAAATAAGAAAGGTCATATTTATTCCCCACCTCCTCCCTTAAAAAGATGTAACGCGCGTACACTATTATACGGCGTCCTGAAATTTGGGAGCAAAAATATAGTTCCGATTTGATGTGGCCTCCATCTCCGTGTGGCACAGCCCAACACCATGATGCCGAAGGGATGAATCCTGCACATCGCCCTGACAATGCCATCGTAAAAGGGGCAAGATAAGGAGGTTCAGCTCCCTTTGCAATGAAAGCGCCTGCCCAAGAGATTGCGGTAACAAGATTCGCGTCCAAATTAGTTTTTTTAGGACGCCGTAGACTACTTCATGTGCGTTATATCTCTTTCAAAATGAATGATTTGGTATTTTTGATGATTAGAGATAAGGCACAAACCGCAATTGTGGAACTCTGATGTCTTTTTACAGAAATATGTAGTACCGTATTTACTCGCGTATAGGTCGACCTGTTTTTCAAAAATCGCCTCATCAAAACTGGGGGGTCGACCAATACGCGAATCCCGGTATTATATTTTTCAACTTTTTTTTTTTTTTTCGGGGGTCCCGAAGTTAGGGGGTCGACCTATACGACGTATCGACCAATATGCGAGTAAATACGGTAGTTAAAAAATCACCCTGTTGTAGTTTTTTTACGGCCGGCAACATCATTACGGCACGAAAGGAAACATTGACCACAGATCATGCACAACCAAAACTTTTTTCGTCAAAATGAGCAAACATTTGATCTGAAATAAAATAGATTTAGTATTCAACCAATTTGGCTTGTTTACCTGATTTGAATCAATATTTGATTTGATTAAAATTATTTTGTACCCACACACGCCTACTTTATTCCCTAATGAGCTACAAGCGATAATTATTGTTTTTTGTCATGCGAGGTTATTAACAAATTATTATTAACAATCAATACTATACGATTACGCGGTGGAGGCACATTTGAAGATATCGAAAATTGTTCTGATCTACCGTTTACAAACAACTTCTCAAGCTCCTTGCTGTTTGGGGCCTTTCCTGCACGGAGCACCAATAATACAGCCAAAAGCTTATAGAGGAGACCACGTCTATCGACTCAAACACAATGTGAAGCGTGCAGTCCGTTTGTTGACAAAGAGATACTGGCGAGCGAGCCATAGCACCTAACGTCTCCGAGCCTCATCCAGGATAATGCTGCGCCTAACAAAGTCACTTAGGCCGTATATCGGTAAGTAACCGCACATGAAAGACCATCTCGAAAGTATTACGTGCACAGAGCGTCCAGTTTTGCAATTTCAAAAAGCCGCCCCAAAACAATATGGTCGTAGTTCCCTACAAACTTACCAGATGGCAGCACATCCCCGCAAGCGCGCCAGTTCAAGCAGAGACGGCAATTTTTGAATGAGCTGTTGCAGTCAGCAACCATACGGCACGCTCCCGCGCTGACGTTCGTCAGTGACCACGAAAGGGTTAATTAGCCAAGTATTAAACTATACCACCGAAACATCCCGAGACGTCGCCCACTCCCCTGGCGCCTGAAATTCCTAAAAAAAACGGGGTGCGCCACGTCTCGATGGGTATTGCACAGAAAGTTTAGAAAAAGCTAAAAAGACAGCCATTTCTGTGTACATGTCCAGCCCGGCTGCACAGCAGATACAGTGAGCTTAAAGCTCGAATTAGACTTCTTGTTTTATACAAGAAATGCTCACGAATGAACGTCTTACTATCGCCGAGTCTGCTGCTCGTACACACGAGATGAACACTACCGATCGGCATACAGCGTGAATGCTTGTTCCATAAAAGCATGTTTCTAAAACCGCCATGTTCCCTTCGTTACGTTCCTTTCCTCAACTGTAAATTACAAAAGGTCAAGGTACACCTAAGCATTTCTTACGAGTTGTGAATGCGAAAGCATGCAAGCCGCTTGTCCGCTCCCTTTTTCGTCTGCAGCGTACTTTTCGTCGCCAGTCAACACGTGTGCTCCCCTGGGCACACTGACCTTGGATGCTCCGTGTTAACAGCGCGCTGAGAGACAAGCAGCGCCATGGGGTGAGCGGTCGCAGAAACTGACGAGCGCAGCGGCCAATGGGAGCGCCGTCGACGCACGCCAGCCAATGGAACCGAAGGAAACTAGGTGCCATTTTCGCGCTTCAAACTGATGACGTCAGGTAGCTCCATAAGACCCAGTTAATGCTTTCGCATTAAAAATAAATGGAGTAAAAAAAAAAAGAGAAAAAAGAAAAAACAATTAGGTCCAATAAATGAGCGAGCCAGTGAAAGCAGTGAAGACTGATGCTGGGGAAGGGGGCAATCATGTTTGCAAATACTTTGGTGAAGGGACAAATCGGGCGCCTTGTCAATCACAAGGAGCAGGCTCTTACGCAACTTTCTGGTCTGGTACATGCATGGTTGTGTTCACGCGCAGCATGCTATCAATGCGGGTTGAGGTGGCGTTGCTAGATGGCGTGGACGGCACCACAATAACACAGAGATTAAAATGGGACACTGTACAAACATCTGCGTGTGGCATTCCAGCAAATTTTTTTTTACGCATTGGCTTTGTCTCAAACATTGCACAACCTTACCAACTGCAATCACGACGTTCCGGGAGAAAGGAGTCTGCGGTAGCCGTATTTTTGTGGAGACGGACTTTGACCTTACATCTTTGACCTTACACTCCGCAATTCTAATCCGGGATACGGGGCTTTCGCTGGTAACGTGACCCCTGAATGGGTTACTGCTTGCGTTATCCTTCAGTCTTTTAACAGCACAGCTGGTAAGGGCTAATTTCCCCAGTTTCGTGTCTGTCACCAAATAAATGTTGGAACAAAACTCTGGACAGCCACCGCCATCTATGAGCGACGGCAGCAACCTGCCAGGCTTTGGTTGCCGCCGTCGCTCATAGATGGCGGCAACTTTTCCAGCCTTTCGACTCTGGTTTTCACCAGAGTGGGAAGGCAGAGTTTCTCTAGGCGTCGTCCTCGAGGTCGTCAAAGTTGTCCTTGAGGTTGTTCCATCAGAATACAGCCTCGCTGGTTTTCCCTCTTCACCAGAGTAGAAAGGCTGAATGTTTTTTTTGTCCGAACAAATTTTTTTGTAAGCAGACAAAGTTTAATTCTGCTATCTTTCGCACAACTGTACTCCCACTTGGAGGTCGCTGAAAGCAGGGAAGATATGCATAAACAAAGTGTCTTTCCCTCCCTTTTCTTACTTCGTCACGGACGTCCCCCAAGCGTACGGTCCGTGACGGCCGCATCATTCGAGTGGGATGGACGTTCGCGGACCTTGAAGTCCGCGTCCGGGTATTTAGGGGGGGGGGGGGGGGGCGTCACTCAGTGTTTTTTTAAATCGATATTCGCCCAAAAGTGGGGCGGGTGGTGACTATATTGAAAATATTGAACCGCATTACTCGCAAGTCACGTTAATTGCACGTAGGTTTTTTAATATTACACCTAGGATTAATTTTTTGTAATTTTACCATTTTTTAAACTTTTGGGTCACAATGCCTTTTGCGTATTTATTCCGAGTCTCATTGCAGTTCTATTTAGCCACTCATTTTCTGGCAATGGACACCTAATCTGGCCCTTCAGACATAAAGTTTGGAGACAGCCGCTCTAAGCCAGGGCTTCTCAAATTAGGAACATTCCCCGGAGTATCCTCGAGGGTTTCCCGAACTCCCAAATTGTCTCGAAAGCCTCCGCTGCTCTGTAGCACATTGTTGTACAGCCACAGCTCATGGGCTCTTCCCGCCACTGCAAATGACGTCCGTTGGCAACATCGACGACAGACATCAAGCCTGGGTCTTCTGCGTGCAGGGACGTTATCACCGAGTTATGCCACAGCGTTAACAACCCGTTTGACACTTAGGGGTCTGGTAGCACCCTACACTCACTGCACGCTCTCTAGAAAAACGAAAATAGCGGATAACAATATGCCATCGTAGCACTGTCACTGCCAAGAGCTCGTGCCGGGACAAAAAAAAGAAGCGTCGGAAACAAAACAAAATCTTGCCCAGAACGCTTTTGTTCAGAGACGACGCCCATTCCCAACTCTTTGCTGAACCGTGTCGCAGCTGTTCCTTCGACTGTACTGTGCATTAACGCGGAACTTCCCTCTTTTTAATCGGCATTAACTGTCCCATGGAGAGTAGCCGGCGTTGTACCCACCAAAAACGGCTCTTAAGTATGCCGCTTAAAATGGCCGTCATAGCTCCAAGCAACGTTACCCCCCAGGGAAGCCCTCTTCCTGGCGCTGCGGCCCGCACGCCAGTAAAAGGGAGAGGGTGGCGCGACCGCAGAGGCCCGGCCGGCATGTGCGGACGACAGCAGGGCTTGTAGTAATGCACTCCGTATACGAATGCTTTCCCATTCCAACACGGTCTCGAGTGCGTAATTTGTTTAAGAACCATTGGAGACGACCTGAGCCAGCCACCGGTGCAAGGGCTTCCGCACTACTCTATTGCGCCGAGACCAGGAAGGGTTCGTCGGCCATCAGTCGAGAAAGAAGTAGGGTTTCCTCGAGAGAACTCGTACTGTGGGAAAACGGGCGTACCGACCTTGACGACGTGGGACACGGCGCACAGCAGGTCCAGGAGCTTCGTGTGCCCGTAATCGGCCAGGCGGCACTGCCGCCCAAAGTGCTTGTGGTACGTAGGGACGAAGCGGTGCAGGGACACGCTGCAGCGAGGCTGGAGGCTCAGCAGCTCCCTCACCTCCCGGGAAAATTGCTCCAGCCGAGCAGACGGCGTCACTGCGACAGCCAACAGGACCCGTGAGCAAGTCAAGACAGTAACGGAACGGACTCATTGAAAGTTTATGGTTTAACGAACAATAAAACGGGACGACGAATGCACAAAAATGTTTCTCCCAATTGTCAAAAACAAAAGGCTGTATTTAGAGAATTAATGAACTGCTCCCTGCATCGCAAAAAAAAAATTGCTTAGTACTATTCGTTACGTCGTTAAAAAATAACGTACCATTTAATAGTATAGGGAATAAGAATAAAATCCATCGAAAAAGGATCCTTCGCTAGAATTATTTAGGAGAGCAACAAATTAATTGCCAGATTCCTAATTTGCTAATAAAAGTGAAGAACAAATAAACTTTCATTGTTCCTTTCACAATTTCGAGAAAAACATTAGAGAATTCCTGGTGGCGACTGATGCCGTTTTTCAGTAAAAAAAAGAAATAATAACCGAGTCTTTCCACGTCAAATCGTGCAATGATGGTCGGGTCATATTTTTTTTTATATTTCTGTAAAAAAATGTAGGTTAAAGCCACGTTCTTGGGAGGAGCACTCGCCCATGTGCGAACGCCGTAGCCAATTGTCTTCCGAAGATATAAAATTTCTAACCTCGAGGTGTGGAGACTGCCAAGGTTTTGCTCTTTCCATAGCCGTCAATTTCACGCCCGAGCATGCACTTAATATTACATGGTAACATGTACACTAAGTATTAAAAATTACAAACGATTTCTATGCAAAAAGGTTCACAAAACACATCAAATAAACAAGTTTTAGCGGGACATTTAGAAATGATTTACCAACAAACTACTTCATTTAAAACGGCACAGAATATATCAAAATGATAATATTTAAGCGGATTTTACAAATATATAATCAAAGTATGCTTAGCCATTATTTTAGTTCCGTTATTCATGTAGAAACGCAGCTCATTCCTCTGAATGTGACAAAATTGTACATCAATATTTTGCAAACTCCAATCTTTATTTTCTTTCAACTCTCCCAAACCATTTACAGTAATTTGAACTAAATTGCAATGGCAAAACGTTGAGTAGCATATGACCTCCTTAAAAGAAAAATTACAACCAAGCTTTACTCAAACTGAGCTACCTAGTCCTCGTTATTCGCGACTCCAGCGACCTATAGGGGGCGCCACCACCAAACAAACACGGCGGGTGAGTCCAGGTCGCGTCGGCTCGGCCTGGCCGCCTGAATGGGTCGCGCATTCAATTTAACAAATTTTCTTTTGTTGAATGCCCAATTTTATGGGTATTTGAACTGAGACGGTTAAGTGTAGCAGGTGCACATAAACTTGCCGAGCATAGTTTTGTTTTGCCGATGTTTTTTTTTTTCTTTTCATGTCAAACTTTCATTTCGGAGACTTCGATCAAAACCGAAACTATGGGCTCCGGAGAAACGGTAATAGACTCTAATTAGTTTTGATCATCTAAGGAAAGCGGCGGGGGCTACAAAATTGTTCCACCGAGAGTAATTTTTAGCTAACTCGCATGCCTCGACCATGCGACTTATCTGTCCGCGAAATGGAGCTTTTGTGCGTGTCCGCGTTTCAAGAAACAGCTCCAGTCGTGTGCTCGGTCAAGAACACAGGCTGCAGGAAAATTACGAAAATTAAGCAAGCGCTTCTTGAGCCAAGGACCATGTTAACCCGCTGACGCCCCACTAAGCAGCTGATACTCGTATTTCAATTCAGGTTTTAGTAGCGATCGAGAAGTCATTTTGACGAATATGCGGATTATGTATCATATTACGTACTATGTCTCTAAAGCAATATTAGTATATTCTTCGGCTTGAAATATGAACTTAGTTGACTAACTATTAGGGGGAACTGCTGAATAAAAGCATATTTGACAAACAGAGAGATACTACTTAAACTTAGCCAAAAGGTTCTAGCCGGTAGAACGGAGACGAATGCGGACAAACTGAGGAGAGTCTTCATCGGAGATTCACTCAGACCTCTCTGCATTGAACTTGACTTCGAATCCTGAACGGATAAAATGAGTATTTTTTGCGGCCGGTCGACCTCAGCAATGTAGACGTATATTTCTGCCGGCTTCGACAGGGGTTATAATATAAATATTGGAGGGCGCGATAGATCCTAATGCCGTGACAGCTTCCAACTTTGTGAGACGCGTCCCCCACCTTTTGAAAGAAGATAATTTCCCTCATTAATCATATGCAGTGAGCAGGTGTTCTGAATCAAGTAATTGCGAAATTAGCCCAACTCCTTCAATGTTGTCTTTTTCGGCGAAAAGCCGCCAAGATGAATAGCCGACGCACCGGCCGGCGCTAGTGGCTCAAATTAACTTGAAGCTAATCGAGCACAACCAAACTCAAGGAAAGCAGCTATCGAACCTTCCCATTCACTTGACTGCAACATTGGTGTTCCTTCCAGTGAAACACTTAGTCTGTCGACCTCAGTCGACTGTTCTACATCCTTATAAAGAGACCACTTATCAGTTACCAAGTAGTCGTCACTTTGAACGTGATTAGAGACAAACGAGAAATCAAAACGTTTTTCCGTGATTCCTCCTCATCCAAAAAATTGAAAGCAAGCGACCGTGTGTTGTGGAGTAAACGGGCTTTCAAACACGTGATGGAAAGAAACAATCTACTAAGGCTTCACTACACTAATGAACACTCAGGCAAACTTAAGAAATTTTCGGACCTTCGTCAAATTACATTGCTCGCCTCCGCGCCGACAGCACGCATCCGCGAAAGCCATCAGAGACGCAACTGGGCGCGGAGCGACCTGGACCGACTGGTTCCCGGTTTTCCCGCTTGGCAGCGTCCGTTTTGCTGGAGTCGCGAATAGGGCCTTTGCCGCACAATATCGGCTCCAAATATACATTTTCTAGAATTGACAATGGCTGTACAGCGGTGCTGCTCTATCGTAGGCTGTAAAAAGTTATGCTGTCCCTAGTTTAGCTTTATATTTCTGTTTCCTTGCATTACCGGCCACCCCTCCCCCCCCCCCCCCCTTTTTATTTAAACACATTGAAATTAAACGTATTTTACGGAGCACCAGAAATGGCTGCGCATGCCTTATATCTCTACAATGTCGGAGGACTTAATAGTTTTCAATTATGTCCATTGTAATTGAAATGGTACCTCGAAATGTATTAACAATAAAGCTAATTACGAAACTAACCTACCGTATTTACCCGAAAATAGGTCGGGCCACGGAAGTAGGTCGGCCCCTATTTATTGAACCCACCAAGAAAAAAAAAAAGATTATTCAAATATAGGTTGCCCTTCTTTTTTTTTTTTGTTTTTTTAGGAGCAGGGGAAAGTTAGGGCAAAAGAAACAAACGTTTATTTAGAGCACTCTCGGCTAAATCGCAGGGCGATGCCCAAAACTTCAGCATCGTCACACCTTCCGGACACGTCATTGTCGTCCGAAGCTTCGTCGGCTAGGTAGACGTCCTCACAAATTCGCAACAATACCTGACTGGCACCGTTGTAAAATCAAGCAACACGACCGTTCTTAGGCAATATATATTGCTAGTATCCTGCGGGCACGCTCAGGTATATCCGCGACTACGCCTATAAGAACTCTGCATATAAGAACTCGCCTCCGAAGCCCGCTCGCATAGATCAAGTTTCATTCACGGACATAAGAACTCGTACGAAGTTCAACCGCCAACCACGGAAGCCCGCTCGCACGGATCAAGTTTTGTTCACGGAGAGGCTACCAGACACTCTCAGCCTACAGCGCAGCATACAGCTCGCTGTACCATTCTGTTACGGATTAAATAAACTTAAATAAATGCATTTACCCAGTGTGTGAAATTAGGCCTACCCACTTTCACGATTTCACTGTCCGAAAGCTGACCACAGACAACGGCTTGTTTGTTGACATCAATGCATCCGATAGGCGAAGAATGTCCGGGGCTTGGCAATTCCTCGACTCAAGCTTCGTCAAGTGTGCACGACACTCGGTTTCACGGTTGATCACTTCCGTAACTACCGCATCTACGTACTTGCGGTCATTATTGAAAAAGCGGCTTGGCCTGACTTCGCTTGACCGCTTGGCGGCAAAAAAAAACTGGCTTGGTGGCTCGCTAAATTGGACGCAATTCGAGACTCGCGGATCTGAAAATGGGAGGCACATTGATTACGGGAGGGAAAAAAAAAAGAAGTCAAAATATTGATGCCCGTTGTGGGGGCTGCGTTTATTGCACGAGTGCGTTTTTTGTGCGAGTAAACGGTAGGTCCTTAAAAAGCCCAAAGAAGCCGTGGTATTGCAAAACAAGTGCCAAAGTTAGGCCTCACTCCTGGTAGTTGGGCTGTGAACCGGCATCCTTGGGCCCTAAATGGGCAGACATGCCCCAAAGCTAGGCTTTTCTAGAAACTGTTAAGAGGGCAGGAAACACCGAGAGAGGGCAGGAGCTCCCTCGTCCCCCCCTCAGACAGGCACTGGTTTGACTTGTCTCAATCCGCTATTCTCGCAGCTGAGCTTTGCGGTCGCCATGCCTCATTGCTGCACAGCAGTAGGTAGCGCAAATCGTGGCAAAAATTGTTGCAAGATTTTATAGCGTTTCAGCAGCCTCCTTGCACCCAATAAATGACCGCATCTCGACGTGGTAAATGACGGTGATTGGGGCAAAGCTGTGGTGGTGCTGATGATACTGATTTTATTCCTAGGTAGTGCTGATGGTGCTGATCTTTTTTTATTTTTATCGCTCATAGGTGGTGCTGAGTTCTGGGTTGCGTTTCGACTTCATTACCCAATGCATGCAAAGTTTAACGCGATTATATATGCATTTGACCGCAGCGCCCTCTCCTGTATAGACGTTGAGCGGCTACATGCAACGTTTCATCCATGACAGAAACCCCAGTTCTCGAGTTACTAGAACATCTCAGAGCCCCCTACTCGTTCCACAGTCGTGGCCGAGTGGTAAAGGCGATGGATTAGAAATCCATTGGGGAATCCCCACACAGGTTCGAATCCAGGCGACTGCGAAAACATTTTTTTTTCTTTTTTTAAGAAGACGGATGGCATAGCAATCGATGTGAGCACGGATGCAGGATAAGGCTAGACCCCAAGGAGCCTTGCCCCTAAAAAGCGCGTGAAATGAACTCTGGCCCTACAGCGACAGAACCCAGACGCCTTGGCAACGAACCGTCAACTCCTGTGTTTGCAGTGCCCAATTCGTCCAAGGTTCGTAAACGTGCTCAATTCAAAGTGACGACGTTCTTTACTTTTTGACGGTGCCTGGGAGCAAAAAGTTAGGATTGGGAGCTCTTGGAAGTGCCACCCAGGAGGCTGCTGCAGCCACTCCAGGAGGGACGAACGAGAGGTACCTTGGGAGGGGGTACTCCTGCCCGTCCGTACGGCCTTCTTGAAGCCCAGGGGGGAGGTGAGGACCTCGATGCCAGGCAGGGAAGCCACCAGCTGCTCCAGGGGCACTTTGCCTGCCTGCCAGGGCTCCAGATCCGGTTCCTGGGGCAGCAGCCCAAACTCCGCCTCGTGGCACGCCCGGAAGCTGCAGCACACCATACAGTTTACACTTGCGTCACGGCTACGGCAGCGTTTGTTGCCCGTATTGCTGCAAAAGCTGGTTCACACGCTCCTAACTGCTTAGGACCAACTGCGTCAAGACCTCTCTCTCAGGGTGATATAGGCGCACCTCCCGCACCGAGGCAGGAAAGTGTAGGGCAGTGTGGCACGTGTTTTGAGATACGACCGGAAGCCCTACACTTTCCTGCACAGGTCCAACGAGCAACTGGCGCCGTCTACCGGGTAGCCAGGGAATGGTCGTCATTTAAGCACAATTGCCACTTCTTTCGCGCATCATTACGGTCATTTGTTCCATCGCGTTGAAAAGTCCCTGCGGGTGCCAATACAGTTCTATAGAGCGAGAAATTCCATAATTTTAATGCGCGAGGACCATAGGTCGGCATTTCCGAACCCACTCACTCACCATCACATCACTAATTACAGCAACATCCAAAAGTCACAGCCCTTCACATCACAAAGTACATCGACGTCCAAAAGTCACAGCCTTTCACATCACAGAGTACACCGACGTCTAAAAGTCACGGCCTTTCACATCACAAAGTACACCGACGTCCAAACGTCACAGCCATTCACATCACAGAGTACACCGATGTCTAATATTCACGGCCCTTCACATCACAAAGTACACCGACGTCCAAAAGTCACGGCCATTCACATCACGGAGTTCAACCGGACAACAAACTCATCCCCATCACGTCACCTCAATCTCTGAACTCACAAAGTCATTCACCGTCACTTCACGAATCCGTCAAGTTCACGAAGTACTTCACCGTCACATCACGAATCCTATAGAGTTCATGAAGCATTCGCCATCCCATCACCGCCAGCTCTAAATTCACGAAGTCGCTCACCGTCACATCACGAATCCGACAGAGTTCATGAAGCACTCCCCATCCCATCACCGCCAACTCTGAATTCACGAAGTCGCTCACCGTCCCATCACGAGCTCATCGAGTTCAGCAAGTCGTTCCCCTCACGTCCGTGAACTGATCCCGTTCATGAAGTCGTTCGACCGGTTCGACTTCACGGCCCTTCACCGAGTCACAGTCATTCACCGAGTCACAGCCATTCACCGAGTCACCGAGGTCACGGAAAGCGGCGTCGGCCCCTGCAGCCGCGGCCACTGCCACTGCCTCCGGCTCTCAGCCATCCTCGAAGTTCTTTCGCAGCGGCGCTGACGGCTCCAGATGTGTGTGTCAGTGTGTGTGTGTGTGTGTGTGTGTGTGTGTGTGTGTGTGTGTGGGGGGGGGGGGGGGGGGGTATTGGGCTGGGCCTGGCGACGCACCCTGCACTTGTCATTTTCTTTCTTTAGCTTGTTCCCTCTGGTTTTTGTTTTGTTGTCCCATTTCTTTTATTTTCGTTTTGTTTCGCGCTTTCTTCATCGAGCGCGCATGCTGTGGAGAGCGAGCGGCTTCTTGACTTCCCTGCTCCGAACTTGTGAGATAAGGTGCTTGTTTCCGGGAGAGTTATTAGCCCCACGGATGCCCAGAACCAAAATGGCTGCTGGTTTGTGGGCGAGCGGTATTACAAAGGGTGGCATCACTCTAGCAAAGCGCACATGAAGGCTCCCTAGACTTCGCCTGGTTGTCGGCGTTGTGATTGCGGAGGGGACCCCACCTCAAAACCTTCTGGCCTGTCCTTTTTTTTTTTTTTTTTTTTACTTTTTGTTGCGCACGGTTTTTTCTACGAAAAAAAGAGAAGGCGCTTATATTTTTGCCAACGACCGCTCGCCGAGGGGGCAAAAAGGAGAGACAGACACGAACCTGCGTTCACGATTTTTGTGAAACATCTTACAAACATTAATACGAGTCCATATTATATGAACGAAGACGTTTTAGTGCATTAGAGTTTAGCGAATAGAGATCACATACGCGAGTCGACGTTTAGGCATTTGTAGGGGCGGCAAACTGGGCATCCAAACAGACCGCGCCAGGCGGTCTGTTCAGAATATGAACTCAAGTTCGAGCGTCCATCGCCAAAGGTTCGGCAAGCTCGAAAACAGGACAGCGGCGGCCTTTATTTTATCTATTCGGTCAAATGAACGCCGCCATTCGTTAAAGTGGCATGCGATGAAACTTCGTGGGCCAGGTTTCGCTCGCTAAACCGTCGTTCGATCAGTACAAAATTGTTCTGTGTATTTTATCTTAATAATTATGATCCATGCCAACCAGCCCATCGTTGCCTACCTCACTTTACGTCGTAAAATAGCGCGTTGATGTCACTTTCATGAGATACCATAATAACGCAGTACTTCACAGCCGACCGCTGAATCACCCGTCTAATATTTTGTCACGGATTTCATCACATATATATATAAAGTAGACATTCCAAAACAAGAGTCATCCATTCCCAAAAATTTCAGTGGACTGGAACTACCTTCCCACATCTGTTGCCACAATTGCCACTTACTATATGTTTAAAAATTGCCGTAAATAACCTATACAGCTCAGACTGAGCTCCAAAGTGTACAGCTTTGTTCTGTTCTCTTCTAACTCCCGCTCGCCTCTGTAATGCTGATGGCCCTGAGGGTATGTCAGTTAAACAAATAAATAAAAAAAGTAAGTGCCTCGCCTGAAAAACCTCTTAAAGAGGTCGCCTCTTTAAGAGGTTTGCAGCTGGCCGAACCAATGAAATCTGAGTTTTATTCGAACCCGTTGGTCAGAGTACACCTCATCATTAATTAAACCACTCATTGGATCATTCACCTCAAAGCAATATGTTTACTTCCGAGCGTGTTCGTGTCGCTCAACCTACTTTGAGCAAAATGCAGTCGAGATAACTAATGATGGCGCTCGACTCCACTTTTCTCAGCTTTGAACCTAGGCGAGGCGCGCGACTCACGCGCGCCTCGCGCTCGTTGTTTTACGCCGGGGTTTGGCTGCGCATAGACTCGTATTATAGGTAGCGTACTGTGTTTTCGGAGTTCATGTTTGAATAGAATCGGAGCGTGTTTTTCGGAGTTTATTTTGTAGCGTAGGCTACACTGGCCGAGGTTGAGCAGTTTCGCGTGGCTTCTGGCGAGCCGTGCTGCGTATGCGCGAGGAGCAGTGACGTCACACGTGTCCGCACCAACTGGCCTACCTTCAAACTTTACCACAGTTCGACTAAACAACTGTTGGACAAAGAGTCAATCATTTGCTAAAGTCCGACGGGGCGGTGTTCGCGAATATAATAGACTCGGAAACTTGATGGGACGCAAGTTCTTGAAGCGGGAATCTCTACGAAGCGTTTTATTAGAGGACAGGGTCTTCTAGTTTCACCCCTTGACATTGCTTTCAGTCAGGATGGCACGCGCTGTGCAATTGATTGGGAGCTAGTGGGCCACTTTCCGCGAGAACACCAGTAATGCAGGCGGCTGCTACCAACGGAGAAAACTGCGAATGACAAGGTCTAAAGTATCTAGACTTAAAGGGGCGGTGCAACAATATTCAATTGGAATGTTTTTCACTTTACACGAGCTTACTGGCACTAGTGGTTCTCAAGGATACTCACACGCAACACCACTGGCCAAGAAACTCCTTTGTTGCACTGTAATTTCGAGGACAAAACCGAGCGTTTTCATTCAATCTCTCCTTCGCAAAACCTGGTAACGTAGCTGGGCGGTAGCAGTACCGCCCAGTGACGATATGTGAATGCGGCTCATAGATTGGACCCGAGCATGGCGTGGACACTCGATTTGGGCTCGTGATAATCGATAGCTCGAGAAGCATTCGGGTATGTCCGGTGTCCAAGCGCTGCAATGACGAAAACAGCCGAACCATAACAATGTCTGGAACGCAGCGCGTGTCCTGTGCCTTGCCAACCCCAGCGCATGGCTATGATCAATACAGGCGGCATATAATCGGCTCCAGATCACGTGACCGCTTGTTCTGGCTGCGAGTTGAGGGGTGAACTTTGCTCGTTTTTCTTTATTTTTTTCTACCACTTCGATTGCGTGTGGTGAAAAACGAACGGGTAATTTACAGGTCATTAACGTCAGGGATCCGTCCTAAGCGGTATTTGCGCAAAATACAAAAATCGTTGCATCGCCCCTTTAAAAATCATTTTCCTAACGTTATACTCACATGACGTGACGTGAGCATGTAAAACGTGGTGCTCAGTGGCACCTCATTTCACATCATTTTTCCACTATATTTTATACACCAACTCGTGTTTACAAACAAACTGGAGCGCTCCTAGCCGACGCCACCGGCGCCGCGCATGCGCGATGGGGTGTGGGCAAGAAGCTCGCCGCGTCGCCGATAAACAAACCATTGAATTGCGTTGTTGTCGGCTGTGGTGTGAGTCCAACGCAGGTTTCTGCGTTGGAATTGTTGATTCTACGTCTTCCTGGGCAATGCCTGACTACTTGAGCAGCCTCAGCGAAATTACTGAGGCTCGCTATACCACAAAACTTCGCGTGAATAATGTGACATGCGGCGATTCATTCCGCGTGGACGCCGCAGAGGGTACGCTAAAGCCTGATTCGCACGATGAAATTTCGGTCGCAATTTTCAGTCATGACGTCGCTCGGGTTACAACAGCGTGAACCGTAGCTGAGATGTTCAACATCGATACTGAAAATCGCAAGCAGAATCGGACCAAGTGAATGAGGCATAACAAGTCGCTGATGGTCACTGGTAACAACGATCACCATCTCCTTGTATCCACTGTTTACATCGAGCCTGCTTACCAATTTTCAAACTTAGGTATTTTGAGGCCTGCACTCACTTCTTATCGCAAGTGCCGAGCCAACATTTGGTCCACGGGCCGGTGTCGTCTAAAAGAGCAGACGACGAGCAGAAGAGTTTGAAAGAGCAGACGACAGTTCGAGCGATCAGGCGGCCGTTCGATCTTGAAGACGCACTGAACGTCCGCATGCAGGCGGTCCCAACAACTTGGCGGTATTCCCGCTTTCACGACGGAACAAAACAAATAAATCTGATGACAACAAGTATCCGTGAATTTAACCCAAACTGCTTCCCG